AATACTTAAATTGTTAATGTTCCAGAGAATCACTGTAGTTTCTCACAGGGTTTTAATACACAAGACCTTTGTTTTCTACAAGCTCAAAGCAGAGAAACCAGAAAGAGGGGAAAATCTTCATTTCTTGTAACAGCGCCCTCTTCCGTTATTTCTGACATAAAGCAGTATGTTTCATGTTTTGTGTGTGTGTGTGTGTGTTTTTTTGTTTGTTTTTGATTTGTTTTTTCATTAGTTTTTTGGTTATAATTACTATTAATCTGTAGCAGATAAATACAGTATGGAATATTTTATCAAAGTTTTGAGACACATTCTAAAGAACATTACGTACAACTAAACAAAATGTGTAACCCCTTAAACGATAAATCTGAATATATATATATATTTATATATATCTATAATGCATTTATAACATCATGTGTGGCTTACAGCTATTCTCGGGTGGTCTGTAGACACAATAGCACAGTGACAAGCAGATATGCTTCTGAAATGGGCTCAGTATTTATGAGCGGGTTACAATGTAAATAGATTCAGCAAACAATTGAAGAGGGAAAACGGGTTTTTTGTTATGTATTAAAACTCACTCAGACACAAATACAATTTTGCATTTTGCAACATACATTTAGGTTAACACCATAAACCCATTTATTTGACTAATCTAGCAACATTTGTGAGCTCCAACCTTTATATTTAACTTTTTATTAGTGTTATTATTAATAGTATTGTTTTCCAAAAAATAACAGGAGCACTGTGGCATCCAAATTCAGTGAAGCATTGCTCAAAATTCCATATCTGCAGACAATACTTAAATTGTTAATGTTCCAGAGAATCACTGTAGTTTCTCACAGGGTTTTAATACACAAGACCTTTGTTTTCTACAAGCTCAAAGCAGAGAAACCAGAAAGAGGGGAAAATCTTCATTTCTTGTAACAGCGCCCTCTTCCGTTATTTCTGACATAAAGTAGTATGTTTCATGTTTTGTGTGTGTGTGTGTGTGTTTTTTTGTTTGTTTTTGATTTGTTTTTTCATTAGTTTTTTGGTTATAATTACTATTAATCTGTAGCAGATAAATACAGTATGGAATATTTTATCAAAGTTTTGAGACACATTCTAAAGAACATTACGTACAACTAAACAAAATGTGTAACCCCTTAAACGATAAATCTGAATATATATATATATATATATATATATATAATGCATTTATAAAATCATTTGAATTAAGTATTTTATAATGATTCACACAGCCTAATATATTGAATAGTATTACAAATAAGAATGCTTATGGGATGATTGCAATGCCTTAAGCTAGAGAGCATGAACAAAAATTTTGATGTATCAACAATATTTCTGGTCCATTTTTACGGAAGAGAATATATAATTTAAAATATAATAACTAACATTTAAAAGGTTATACGTTTTGTTTTTGTTTATTTGTACTTTTATTCAGCAATGATGCATTAAATTGATCTAAAGTGACAGTAAAGAATTTTACATATTTATATATATATATAAATAAATGTTGTTCCTCTGAACTTTCTATCCATCAAAGAATCTGGGGGGAAAAAGTATATCAGTTTCAACAAATATTGAGCAACACAACTGCTTTCAGCACTGGTAATAATAAGAAATGTTTCTTGAGCAGCAAATCAGCATATTAGAATGATTTCTGAAGGATCATGTGACACTGAAGACTGGAGTAATTATGCTGAAAATTCAGCTTTGATCACAGGAAGAAATTATAGTTTAAATTATATAAGGCCCTATGAAATCAGTTTTATTTATTTTTTTTACAAATTCTGTTTTTACCATTTTAACTTTTCTGGACTTTTCTTGTGGCGCGGTGCTATCTGAATATGAAAGTAAGCATCTTTCAGATCTACGGATGCAAACCAGTCCCCGGGACACATTTCTGCCAGGATCTGCTTCAGAGTCGTTATCCTGAACACGTGCTTGTGAAGTGCTCTGTTGATGGGCCTCGGGTCCAGAATCGGACAGAGTCCCTCATCTTTCTTGGGTACCACAAAACCTGCTCTCCCGCTGGCTCGGAGGGACTCGCTCTATCACTCCTTTTGCGAGCAGGCTGTGAACATTCCGTCTCAAAACAGGGGAATTTCGAGGCAGTGTAAGTGACGGAACCACACCGTTGAAATGGGGTGGTCTGCATCTGAATTGGAGAGAATACCCGTGCTCTATTATGTCCAGCACCCAACGCGAAATGCCTGGAATAGCTCTCCACGAGTCTAGGAACTGACATAGCGGCCAAATCCCTCCAGTCGCTATTGCTGGCAACGAAGCTCGTAGACTGGTGCCTTGCCCTGGCGAGGCTAAACGCGCTGGCGAGGAAACGGCTCGTGGAAGTCAACACTGGGCTGCCATAACAGGCACAGACAGTGGCTCCATGCTACCATGAGGCAGGGCAAGCGATGCAGTATCTATAGTATGAGGAGGAAACAGCTGTTTTTGTGAGGGGGGTTGTGTATTTATTGAACAAACAGAAACAAGAACATTGCATTTGTTACCTACAGGAACAAAGGGGACATGATGCAGAACAGGGTGCTTGGGGGCCAGGCCTCCAGTGAGCTCTCTCCTCCTCTTGATCGGACCATTAGGACGAAGGCTTGACAGCCAAGGACAGCTCACTATCATGGCGCGGGCTCCTCATCAGTCCGTGACGCCACATCCGGCTCAGGTGCCTCTTTGTAATTTTCTTGTAATTGAGATCCAAAAATATAACAACCAAAAACAGCCTTTGGCAGCTTTTTGACAGTGAATTTTCCGTGGATGATTCAGTGCGATTTGCATAGATTAGCGACAATTGGCCAGTTTATTGAACTGGCGTTATCCTATAAGATTTCAGAGACGAGGAGGAGTTCCCACTGCGAATGCTTTGCAATGTAGAGTGAATGCTCAAAAGGGAACCATGGTGACATGGCATGTGGTTTGGACGGAAGCGATGGAAGTCTGCACCATTCATTCACACAGACACACGCAGAACATGCAAGATTCATATTTAAATAGTATTTTTGTGGCTTAATATTCACAGACACTAATCCATAACACGTTTTGATTTAAGTGTACTGACCTACTTTTGATTTATCCATCTAAAATTTGGCAAATTCTGCGACATTCTGGTTTATACAGTAAATGGGTTCTGTGCACAAGCGACGAACTTCCACTGTCGCCAGAAGTCGGGATATCAGTTTCCGGTTTACTTTCGCATTGCCCAAAATGGCAGTTTTTACTAGATGTCTCCAAGATCTGCCTGAAATAAGCATCAGTGATGTCCATTGTATAGTTGATGCCTGGTCCCCTGCTCCAACAAACTCTGCATATTGAGTTATCTGCACAACTACTTGTTTAAGCCCAGTTTAGACTACACAATTTTTTTGTCGGTTAGGACAGTCATTGTGTCAGATTATGCGATTTTGACTCCCAAAATATTGTCGTGTCATGAACAAGAAACATGTCAGACTACACATACGTTGCTACCCGACCATTCACCGCTTGCCTTCTTTAACAACGTGCGTGCTGTCATCGATATGGCTAGACTAGACAGAAGGTGCCATGAGCAAAAACAAACAATGTCTTGTCGTCAGGAAAGTCCAAAAAAGAAAGAAAACCTGACAGTGGACACAAATCTGGATTGCATAAAGAGGACAATATGGACCGTCAAAGAGAACTGAAGTAAAATAGTTTTTATTTGACCTTTTTCACTCTGGAAGTCCTTCAAGGAAACATCATAAATGTTGGAGTCTTATTGCCATAGCTCCATGATCATTTCCTCTATTGTAAAATTCCACCTAGCAGGGCCGATACCATTGTCTCTTTTTCATGTCGGCATGTTTGAAAGCATGTAAGAAGGCGCTTCTGTGCTCCTATTGGCAGATGTGACAGAACTCGTCGTGGACGACCAAAAAAAATAATGAAACATGCTAGTCTTTCTGCAGTGATGTCGTGAAGCGTCGAAGTCGTGGCATCATTTGTTGCCCACTATGACACACTACACGAGATGAAACAATTGTTGGCCGATTGTGCCAAAATCGGCCTAAAATCGTGTAGCTTAATGGGGCTTTAATCTAATGTGGTATGCCGGTGTTGTGCCCAATTCTGACGCCCCGCCAGATTATTACCCCCTTAGTATTGGTACGTCTAGGAGTAGGTGTGGGGGAGGGGTTAGGATTAGGCTATCAGGTAGCGACTTCGACAAGGGGGGGGTAATAATTTGGAAGGAGGTTGAAATTGGGCAAAAGGTTTCTAATATTCCTGGGGATTTAGCTAAGGTAATTCATGTTTAATATAACTTAATATATATTATAAAACAACCACAATTATCATACCAGTAATTTTCTCTGTAAATTTATATCCACAGTATGTTACAAATTATGTATGGCAAATAAATTAATAATGAATGGCCCTTGTGTGAACATTCTCCTATTGATTTCAATTCAATAGTTTTTTTATTCAAAGCAGAATACTTGTTTGTATAATTGGGCCATTGGGCCAGGAAAAAGAAAAGCATGAAATATGAATATAAATATATATTAATATATATTACTAATAAATTAAGAAATATTAAAATATTACTATACAGACTTTACGCTACACTGAAAATGAACACGTCGCTAACTATCTTAGCTGCTAGCTGCTGGTGTCGTGCCCAATTTTGACCCCCCCCCAA